TGTCATTGGCATATGAATTGTAATCAAATTCAACCATACACCCTGACCATTCGTCCTGTAGAGTCTTTAATGGTTGAAAGGTGCAGGCGCTTTGACTTCGTCCCAGCGCTCCCCCTTTGGGGGGTCGCTGTCCTTCGAACCGCGCGGCTCACTGTAGCGGGTTGCTTCTTCTTCGGTGCATTTGAGGCCTTTGCTCTCTTCATGGCTCGCTCCTCTTTCTCTTTCCTTTTTCTTTCCTTCTCTTGCTCAAGAACGCGTTTCGCTTCATCGAGTTTCATCTGCTTCTCCTGCTCTTCCCTTTCCTGTTCACGTTTGGCCTGCATCTCACGTAACTGTGCGGCTCGGGCCTTTTGGGCCTTCTCTAATGCGGCCCTTTGCTTATCTGTCATTGGACGCTTTACTTTCTGCATAGGAGGTTGTTCTGGTTTCTTTTCTGCTTGTTGAACAGGGACTTGTTCTGTGGGTTTTTCTACATTCTCTTGTGGAGCGGCGCTCGATTCTTGATTTGGATCTAATTCTTCCATTTGTTTCTTCCTTACACAGAAAAAAAAAATCATAAGATTAGACATCCGCTACATCATCTGAAAATGCAAAACGAACCGTTAAGGGACTATTCAATGCAACTTCCAAACCGGTCATCGAGTCAATCAGATAGAATTCGATTTTAGATATGGTATCATCTACGGGAAGCCATTCTCCCCCATCATTGGTCCAGGTCACTACATCACCGAAACTATCAGGGACAACTGCAGCAACTACAGATTGCGCAGAATCATTGAAGTCACTGAGGTAGCGGCTTCCCTTTACTTGAATGTTACTCGTGAGTAGAACTGGATATGAACCCGAGAGGTTAACTGGGTTCTTCAATGTTACCATTTGGTAATATCCAGTCTCGGTCCAGCGAGACTGCCCGGTCAAAATGTAGGCCGTAGTTCCACGTGTGGCTGGCAGGATTTTGAACTTCTTAGGCCCTGTTGCTGCTATGGAAATCTTCCTGCTCACTCCATCATAACTAACAGTATAACTCTGTGTTCCGGCGGCGCTCATAGCGTCTGCTACTGCTAATGGGAAGTTTGCAATACTGTAGTTTCCGGGCGCGATGGTTGCATTATAAATCGTACTATCGCCTTCTTCTACAAATGCTATAACATTATTTGCACTAGATACCAAGTCCCAATCCTGAAGGAAACTCACGGAGAGCACCTTCATCATCTCCATCCTCCTAGGAGGAATGGAAAATGACCTCGACTTCAGACTGCAATATGTAATCTCGTTAATCATGATATTTCCTTACCTTTTATGTAAAGACAAAGGAAATTTAAATGTCCTATAAACCACGCCCAATCTTTCCAGCGGGTAAGAAGAAGAAAGACAATCGCATCCCAGTTGACCTCGCTTCACCGCCTCTATGTACTACGTTGGTTGCCCCAAGGAAAAGTGGTAAGTCAGCATTAGTTTGTGGTCTGATAGAGGATGTGTATGCAAAGTGTCATGACAAAGTCATTCTGATGAGCGACACCGTTGAGTATGATGCTTCGGTGAAAACGTTGGCTAAAACAACAAAACATGATAACATCTATTCCACAGATGAGGTATCGAATGCCTCTATAGCAAAGATTGTGGAAGAACAAAAAAAAGCACACAAGGATGAAGGTAAGTCATTATTATTGTTCATCAATGATGCCGGAGACTCGGCTAGGAGTGCCGACTTAAATCGAGAGTTATCTAAATTGTACACAAAATGCCGGCACTTTGGGATTTCCTTGTGTGTGGCTATACAAAGTGTCACTTCACAGATATCCAGAAAAATGAAGAACTGTACAACAGAATGGATTGTCTTTAAGAACAATGCAGAGGATATGAAACTACTCGCAAAGATGTTAACGTCGGCCTACAAAGAAGAAAAAGAGGTATTGAAATATCTCACTGAATGCACCACACAACCGTATTCATTTTGTTATGTTAACATGGCAGCAAACAATGCTAAGGACATGTATCGTTATTCCGATTCAGAAGGGTTCAAGGATTATTTTTAGCCATGCGAAGCCGATTACAATGCACACATGATATAGCCCAAATCCTTGAACACATTGATGAAGTCATCACCTAAAGGATAGCTGCGGTCTGAATCATAATAAATAACCATTCGACCAAATGGGTCTTGATGTTGTTTCTTTGTAGATGCCGATGCCGGCATTGGCGCTCCGCGCCGGCATGGTTTCGTTTCCCATTGAACTCGTTTCGCCAGAAAACAAACCATTCCTTCTGTTAACAATCTTTTGGCCCATTTCCGATCCGGTGTACAGGGGGTAATAGCTAAGATTTGCTTCACATTGCCTCTATCAATTTCCGAAAAAGCCTTTTCGAAAAACTGTTCGAGGAGGCGGTGCGGACCCTTAATACCGGCTTCCTCTGGGCACATCGCGGAACCGGGCGGGTTCAGGAAAACTGTTTCTCCTTTCCACTCATTCATCAAAAGGGCGTTGATAAATGTACCATCCTTTTGGTAACCAAAGGTTTTCCTTGCTCGAATGTGGCTTTGCTCATTTGAGCACGGGTCTAAGTCAAATATCGGGATGAATGAATGAACAACCTCTGCTAGACTACTGGGGGTGTTATAGACATTATTCACTCCAAGTCTAATGAATTTGTTTTGTTCTTTCGCTTTGCGGGACATATTTGGATTTCTGGTTAGCTTGTAGGATTTCTCCATGGAATGTTTTTTATGCAAAAATCCATTCTCATCTTTTTGACCATGATATGTCAATATCGGCATACACATAGATCATCCGTACGTTGAAGCTTTCACTAGAAAGGAAAAAGCCACAGATCTATTAATAGACCTCTTTCCCAATCCGGAAAAGTGTGGCTATCATGTCTGGGACATGTTAGCTCCATGGAATAACATAAAAGAAGTCAACGAGCCTCTTCCCCTCCCCCCTCATCTCATTCACACACAATTCTCCACCATGGTCTCCGCTCGTCCTTCAACTAGTAGTCATCATCAATTACCAGCAGATTACCTGGATGCGATTAATTCAGCGGTAGAAAGCGATACCAAGAAAGACTATATGCATGCTTTAAAAAAGCTTGTGAAATATTGGGAAGAGAATTGGGAAGAATATTGGCCTAGCAGCGATGACGGGTCTACGGAAAACATTACGAAGTTCTTCAAGACAATTGGGGATAAATACATCGTCCCGCAAAACCAACGAAACCCAGAAAAACCATCAAAGCGCGGTGATGATCCAAAAACTGCAAATAAAAAGTTTACAGTTGACGAACTTGTGGAATTGTTGAAAAATGCAAATGAAGTTAAACGCCCTCTGTGCGGTAGTTCTTATAATACGAACTCGGCCCTTAACAAGTTCATTTCAAGATTTACGAGTGGAAAGGTTGAAGAAGATAAGATCAAAGAATTCGATATGAGATTGACGAATACCAGCCAGCGTTTTGTGGAAATGAGCTTAAAATTACGGTGTGAGTATGGCAAGACATTACCAGCTCGAAGTGAGAATGGAAATCAACAGAGCGAATATGGGACGTATTGCAGAAAATTAGCCACTCTGTATGAGGCGTTTGGGGAACTTATCGTCTCTGTGAAAAAATTACATAAACAAACGAGGCTATTTCGAACAGATTATCGTGTACTGGACAAAGTCATTGGACGAAAAGAGGAAATCCTTCAACATCGGGACAACAACGGTTCCTCTGAGGAACATCATGACAACAACGGTTCCCCTGAGGAACATCAGGACAACAACGGTCCCTCCGAGGATGTCCCTCAACATGACAACAACGGTCCCTCTGAGGATCGGGACAACAACGGTCCCTCTGAGGATCGGGACAACAACGGTTCCTCTGAGGTGGATGTCCCTCAACATGACAACAACGGTTCCTCTGAGGATGTCCCTCAACATGACAACAACGGATCCTCTGAGGAACATCAGGACAACAACGGTTCCTCTGAGGATGTCCCTCAACATGACAACAACGGATCCTCCGAGGAGGGTACAAACCGGAAGGCTCCTCAACAGCCGTCCACGGGTACAAAGCGGAAGGCTCCCCTCAAAAGGCAAGATAAACCTAGCAAAAAATCTTCCACGTATAAAATACCTTTCGGCCGTGTACTCGAATGCAACCTCTGTAAGGAGGGCTTCAGCACTCATGGAAGGTTTCAAACACACATGTTAAAGAAGCATAGTGTGGCTACCTGTGACACCGATTTCCCTACCTATGAAAAAGAGGACAGTATCACGATGGAAATGGTTGCCTATGAAAATGGAGATCTTATCGAGACGGCGCTGTAAGGCGCTTCACCATCAATCATCATCACTGTTATATACGACAGTCTTTCTCTTTTTGAATGATTTTTTGTATTTCTCTTTGAGTTCATCAACGGATATTAGTTTCTGGAGATAACTCTTAGCATCTTTGCTGAATGCTTCCACTTGCAGCACATCATTCACAAAGTCTCTTTTCTGGTCCAACGACCCTATCTTTTCATAGGTTTCCACTAGCATGCTTGTTAACCCGTCCTCCGATGTTTCCTCTGGAAAGTACACTTTGCGCATTTACCTTTTGACATGAAAAAAACAAATGTTTCATCCGCAGTTCTATTCAACACACAACAACCTCAATATCCATAGAACTAGATAGACTCTTAGTACAATGAAGGATTAAGTCTAATTGTTCGACAACAAATGATTCCCTTTCACTCTTATCCTGCATTTGATGATATGTTTCTATAGTGGTAGATAGTAAGAGAATCATACCAGGCCAACTAGTTTCAAAATGTGTAGGATATTCGAAAATATGTTGAGCCGCCCATGAAATTGGCAGAAGTGCAGCCGTGAGACGTTCTTCATCATTATCCGCAGCGCCCGCAACTATTCCATCTATCGCTCGGTGAATCACCTGGGAATAAAAAACACATCGGAATTGCTTTGCATTTTCAGGTTCTTGGTCAGACGACATTATACAATACTGTCAAAATGTGAAGGTTAAGATACTTTATATAATAATGACTCTTTACATCATTGTTCTACATCATGTAGCTAATTTGATGTAGTAGTTGATGTGTGTCCATTCTTATAAAAAGCTAGTATTTGCTTCCAGAGCTTCTGCATTCAAACACAATCGAAACATGTCTTTCCCAGTTACTCCAAAGCGTGAACACTTTGCTAATTGCATCATGCTCTTCAAGACGGACACGTTGATGGCAATGGATAAGCGAGGAAGGTGCATCCATATCAACACTTCCAACTTTCCTGAAGTTCGCCATATTATGAATGATGAAGATTTGTTTCGCATCTTTGTTCATAACAAAACCAAAAGGAGCGCGGGGGAAAAGAATCGGATTTGCCCTGTTTGTTCATGCAACTATGATATTCCTGACCTACTCAAAACAGCAACGGAAAAGGAGATGGCTCTCTCCGGTGTTTGTAGTGATGCCTGCTGGGATACAGCGACGAAATTCGATGACTAAGATAGAAGTGAATGTGAGCCGGGGGCGTGGGGGGCATGTGGGGGGCATGTGGGGGGCCTGTTTTTTTTTACTCGATGTATGAAGAGAGCTATGAAAAAAGAGAGAATATATGGAGTAGATATATGTAGTATAATTCATTGTTTTTTAGGGGGGGCTTGGGGGGCCTGTTTTTTCGAAAGTAGATTGTTTGGAATGAAAAAAGCAGAGTAAAAAACAACAAACACGTTATTCCTATTTTTACTTTAGTAGAACATCTCTGTAGACCCCAAATGTCCAAAAAACAGGCCCCCCAGGCCCCCCTTTTTATCACTCGATAAGTTGACTCGACGGGGGTTAGCTGCTAAATCATATATGGAGAGGCATGGAGTAAAAAAACAGGCCCCCCAAACAGGCCCCCCCTAATTTTAGTATATGCGGAATCGAGTCACCATTCACTTTCATTTACACCGTCTGACTCCACACTTATGAAGGACAGCGCTCCCTTCGGAGCGCGCTGAGCGCAGGCTCAAGCGAGGACGCGTAGTGTGGCCATTGAATGTTCCTTTACTTTCGCCGTAGGCGACCTCGGAAACCAAAGCTGTATTTAAAGAATTACGATCAAGATTGGCTAACTGAAGCTGAGTCATGATCGGGGGACTAACATGTCTGGGACATGGCAAATCACATGAATTGCTTTGCAAAGTGAATCTATCGATAGTTGATTACCATATTAGGAAGGTGCATCACGTGAGTCGTACGCGTAGTAATCTGCTGATGTAAAGTGGGAAAAGCAACTATCAATAGCAAGTCCAAGTTTTTGCATAAAGTCGATGGTTCAATGTCCCTCCCCTGCCCACCAAAACAATTACGATTACGAGCGATTCACACGGCATCGATTAACCATGGACAGCGCTCCTTCGAGCGCGCTGAGTCGCCTTGCGGCTCAGAAATTGATAAGGAGAGCTAGTGGAGAGGAGCTGTTTGACATTAAGAGATTCTACCAACTAACGGTTGACAACGAGAAGTACCAAAAGATAGTAACAGGGAATCGACGGAGTAAGGAGGCGATTGAAAGGAAGATGGTGGACTTAGGTATCCGGTCAATCATTGGTGAAGATGGCTCGAATATGTATGTGGCATCGCTAGTAGAGGAGAAGTTGGGGGCGCTTACAAACGATATCAAGAAGGAGCTAATGAATGCCGGATACACGGAAGACCAGGTGACACAGATTTCCGCCATCTATCGCATGCAACGGAATGTATTGAGACTGAAGGTGTCGTGTGTATCAGTAACTGAAGGAGGATTCGAAAGCACATGATGGGGCAATCATGGAAAAAATGCTGGCAAAGTATGAAGGGAAAAAACTATTCGAAATTGGTGTGTTCGAGATGGGGTCCGAGTGGTTAGAACCACGTTTGAGTTAAATTGACACGGCGTTTAAATATGGAGTGGGCGTTTAAATATAATAAGCCGGGCTGATGTAATATATAATAAGCCGGGTATATAGAATAATAAGCCAGCTTATAATCATAAATAAGCCGGCTGATACAGTGCAGATAAGCCGTACGGCTTATCTGCACTGTATCAACGTCCCTTGACATGACAACTTGGTTCATTTCAGGTACCCACAGTCTGTAGGCCTTACTCTGAGTGCTGTAGCCGACCATGACTGCCTTCTTGGCCTTCTCATCAAGTTTTGACCGCTTTTCCTTTGGAATATGAGTGTAGGCCATGCAGCCAAACACTCTGAGATGCTGGAGATCTGGTTTACCGCCTGTAAACTCTTGGAATGGTGTGGATTGGTTGCTGAGTGCTGCAGTGGGGCTCCTGTTCCTGAGATAGACCGCTGTCATGATTGCCTCGCCCCAGAACTTGTAGCTGAGTCCACTGTGGTGCAGCATGCACCTTCCCATTTCCACCAGCGTTCTGTTCATCCTCTCAGCAACACCATTCTGCTCTGGTGTGTAGGGGGTGCTGAATTGCTGCTGAATTCCCTTCTGCTTGCAGAATTTCTTGAATTCTTCGCCCACATACTCTCCCCCATTGTCTGATCTGAGAGTTTTGATCTTCTGCCCCGTGAAGTTGGTTGCCCAGGCCTCAAACTCCTTGAATTTGCTGAGAACCTCACTCTTCTCCTTCAGAAGATAAACTGCCGTCATCCTTGACTTGTCATCAATGAATGTGACAAAGTACTTTGCCCCACCATGACTTGGTGTCTTCATGGGCCCACACACATCACTGTGAACCACCCCCAGCAGTAGAGCTGCTCTAGCTGCTTCTCCCTTTGGAAAGGGACGCCTGGTGATCTTTCCAATGGCACAGGCTTCACACGGTGATGTTTCTGCGTGATTCTTGACCTCCAGACCGCTTCCCAGCTGGTTCCTAGCCAAGATTTTGATGCTGTTGACGTTCAGGTGTCCTAACCTGCGATGCCAGAGGTCCAAACTCATTCCAGAGGCTATGTTTGCATGTTCTCTTGCATGAAACATGTATAGACCGCCACCTAGAGTTCCCTGGATTGCTTCCTGACCGTCTGAAGTCTTGATACAGCATCCCTTGCTGCCAAACTCAACTTTGGCACCATTTTCAGTGGCTCTTCTTACTGAAAACAAGTTCTTTTCAAGCTTGGGAACAAACCACACGTCTCTGAGGGTACAGAATCAGTTTCTGCCTGTCTCAAGTGTGATCTGGCCCTTCCCTATTGCCTGAACTGTTCTGTTGTCTGCCAGATGGACTTGAATTGGTGACATCTCTGTGTAATTGGTCATCCAATCCTTCCTGTGTGACATGTGCTGTGAGCCACCCGAGTCCACAATCCACCAGACTGCTCCCTGAGAGGTTTTGGTGTCCTTTCCTGACTGAGCAAAGAATAGGAACTCATTCTGAGTTGCCTGACTGGTGCTGGCTTGATTGGCTTGTTGTTTGGTGTCCGCCAGAAACTTCCTGCAGTCCTTCTTGAAGTGACCCTTCTTGTTGCAATAGAAGCACTTCCCTGCTATCTTCTTGGTCCCACCATGCTTGCCAACCTTCTGCCCACCATCCCTGCTGAAAAAGGCCTTCCCTTTGCTATCTCCTTCACCCCCAGCTTCCTTCCTGCGTGTTTCTTCATGCAAAAGCCGTGATGTGAGGAATTCCAGCGTCAGAGAATCACTCCTGACTACAAAGTGAGGCACTTTGAGACAATTTCATCAAAAATATTCCCAGGGAAAAAGTGCCACAGGATAAAACCAATGGTAAAAATTGGAAGCTTATGGAAAGTAAAAAATTATGTAGAGACATGTAGGGATGAGAATTGTCCCCATTTTCCTAGCAAGATTGCAAAAAGAATAGAAATATCCACATGTTTAAATGGCAACATTGGTTTCCTTGTTTACACAAAAATCCACAGAAGATGTAGGCAACTCAGGCGTCAGAACTCATCCCATCTCAACATTACCTTCGAGGCATACCAGCCGGGATTGGCCGCTCCACGCCCGGCATGCCTGCTGGCATCCTCATGTCCGTTCTTCAAATGGACTACATCTGCGCCGGCATCTTCCACCGAGGAATTTCTATGTGTGAAAATGTACCCTTCGGACGAACTTTTAACTTTTTCTGCTGTAATCTTGTTTTAGTAGGTCGTGTTTGTACAGGCTCCAACTGACAAATTTCTTTGCAAACTTCTTTTTGTGTTCTAGTCAATTTTACTGGTCGATGACCTGGTTTCTCGGTAATCGGTGCATTGGTTTTCTGTAATTCATAGTATTTGAAATGCTGGTCTATTTCTTTACCATTGGCGTATGCTACTACGAATTGATAGCCATCGACACTGACTATATGGTATACATCATCAGACCATTTTG